GAAAACTCCACTCACATAAAACTGATAGTCAACATAGTCAACATCTGCAACAGACCTGAAGCGTCCAACCCAAAAGATGCATCAGAGAGTTGACTCTGGAAATGTTCCTGTGGGGATGGGAAACCACTGGCAGGGTCCTTGAATAGTATATTCAGGTGTATAATCACCCTCCCTGCACTCATACCCTTGGGAATGGGTTTAAATAATAATTCTACTTTTAAAATTTTGTGCATACCTAAAACATGGACAAAGCTTTGTCAGCTGTTTCAGTGATGACACAGCCTTGGCATCAAGCAACATATGCCCACTATCCACTGAGGCTACCCTGAACGAGGAGGAAGGAGTGTGGATGCAATGGGGTCCTTCTCAGCCACCAAGCACCTACCCGAGTAGCCAGTGATGTCCATTGCTTTGAGATTCCTGCATTTAATAACTGTTAAGGTGAGGCGACCTGCAGTTGGCAAATAACAAAGGGAAAACATGATCTCTCCCAGGTCCACGCTTTCCTTCAATAAAACAGAGAACACATTATATTGGACATGTGCAAGAACCAGCCAGGCTGCCTCCACCCTCCCCAGCACGCTTCCTGCAGGATTCATGGAGCACTGATGCTGGAACAGGCTTTTCAAGGGAATGACGCTTCCCTATATGGTGGCGTTGAGGAATTTATTTGCCAGTGTATCTCAACATTATTTTACTAAAAATGAATATAGCAAACAGGAAAAAAGTGTGTCCAAATGTTACAGCTTCAAATCACAGTTAAGGATAATCCTCCACTGCCTCGGTAATCACTTCCTCTTGCAACACTACAGCTAATGCACTCCTCCTTTTCTGCTCCATTGCTTACACAGAGAGAAGTGATATCTAACAACAAATGAAGGCCATTAAGGAAATTATATTAGTACCAATTTTTGCTTGAATATACAGTATGTATCTTCTAGTGCCAAGTGTGTGACACTAACATTTCTTTCCTCAAATGGAGCAATACCAAACACAGAGTGAGACCACAGAAAGGTGAGACCTTAACATGCAGCGGTGCCACAATTCTCTGCTTATACACTGCAACAAAGGCAATGAGTGACTTCCTAGCACAGCTGCTGCCCTCGGGTCCGTAATAGGGGATTACAGTCTTTGTTGATGCCTAGCATTTTGGCAGAGAGTGCAGACGGCTCTGAGTAATGTGGTGATTTTCTCTGAAGTATTAAACTAGAAAGTGTTATCATCTGAAGTCAGCAGAAAGATTTCCAAATACCTTCCAAAAATGGATTTAAAAAAAAGTCTTATTTTGTACACGCCGATCCCACATCTGTAGAGCAAACAACCTGTTTATTTTTGGAAACAGAGAGTTTGATTCATTTCAATGTGATATAATGATCTTCTGAAAAGAAATTGTAGCTGTTAGTAGTAGAGTGATGGAACTAAAAAGACAAGTAAATGCATTAGGCACTTAAAGCTTTGCTAAGTGTTAGGAGGATAGATCTTGTTGATGGATGAGATTTTTGCCAAATGATTTCCTTCTCCTTCCCTGGTAAGGAAAAGATTAGATATTTATTCCACTTAGACGTGCAGAATACTAATGAACATTATACAAAAGTCTTGATTCTTGACTTCAATTGACTAGTAAATAAATTGGAGATCTTAAGCATAGAGTGTACAAAAGAAACAGTGGCAATCAAATGTTTTCTGGACAGAGCAATGTGTGACTAGACTTGTAAGTATCTAAATAAATATTGTCTCAGAAGGTGCTATTTGCTGGTAAATAAGAGTTGAATCAGAGTTCCCCCTCTGATCTCTTGCTCGCCGTAATGAACCAATGGCATCCTAAACAGCTTTCCTTGCAATGCCACAAAATGTTCTTGAGTCACAGCCTCATTGTCAGAGACCAGCAATGAACTAGGTGAAAACATTTACCAAGTTATTATTCCTCTCCCTTTAGTACCTCTTGATGTATCCACTGGGAGCTAAATTTCTGCCTCACAAAATATTACTCAAGGTGCCTTATTAAGGCACCAGAATCATTTTCATGAGCTTTTAGAGCTCCTGCAGCTTCTAACTCTCGACTGCATTTCAGCTACAGCACCTTGAACGTGACGGGTGCCCCTGGGTCGGGCTGCTGTCCTGGAGAGCAGCGATGACCACCACCCCTGAGCACCAAAACCTTCAGCAGTTTACCTCTGGTGTCACCTGTAACCTGAGAGCTGAGCTGAGCTATCATTCTTGCTGCCTGACTCCAACGTGGCTGCTTTTCAGAGGACAGGGAGCTCAGGATTTCACAGAGCCTCATTCATTTACAGCATCTCAAAATAACGGCTCAAAAATCATGTACCCAGAATGACAACTTCCTGTTTAAAACATGTCACGTCTTGTTACCTTTAGAGGTATTCTTCCTCTTTTAAGATTAATTATTTTACATAACAAAGAGCCTGAATAAATCACTCTGCACTGAGGAGGCACGTCGTGGTAAGGAGTGTCTGGAACCTGCTGCAAATGCTGCTGCTGCATCAGAACTCAGCTTGAGAACTGGGATTGTACCTTTGCACATAAGTGTTCCAGTTCCAATCAGACACTGCATCTACCAGCCTTAGCTATAGACTTTACCGACAATAGAAAAGAATTTTAAATAAATACTCTGAAATTATGATTAGAAAAGTTTTTTTCTGTTCCCAAAGAAATGAGCACCTGAATCTCTCTATGTGCTGGCTGCACGGGATGCTATGTCCATTGCACAGTGCAACAGCAATTGGCATTAGGATCACACACAGGGCAGGGTTTGTTCTTTCACACATATTTGGTCTATATTGGTTTGGGAGGGACGAGAGCACAAAGCCTTGGACACAGGTATCAGAAGAGAGCAGCCCTTCTGGTGAGATAGTGAGAGCATCCTGTGGCATCATCTCATCTTCTATTCCTCTCCTTGCACTGAAAGGATCTGTTCAGGGTATAAAACTAGCATAAATTGTTCTTTTACCTCATTGTACTAGGTGAAGAGATTTTTCTTTGCTTCCATAAATACAGGAGAGTAAAACATGTCCTGTGGGTACATTATTTTCTTGCAGATTATAGATATTGGGATGTTTCCAAAATTCACATCAGTACCTCTTAGGAAATAATGGAATCTCTGAATCGATAACCTCCGCAGACTTGACACCAAAATGTTTCACTGATTCACAAGCTGTACAATCATTAATTAAATAGTTGAGTGCTAGCTATTTGAATAGCTTCTATCATTGCTTAAGTGTGTTCCTATCTTCTTACCCACACGATCAATCTAATGTATTATTAGTCATCCAGAGCATCCTTGGGTATTATGAAAACTGTATTTACCCTTCTCATTTTTGATTAAACAGAAATGTCCTTGGGTGTGTTACAACTGGGTGAGATGTACCAACACTGGCTCATTCCCAAAGAATGGCACGGGGAGAATGAGGGGACAGAGCCAAATGCAGCACAACGTTTCTGTGGGAGCTCTACAAGGCTGCTACACAATGTGTCTTGGGCATGATGTTGGCTCTGCTCCTCTCACACCTTTTTTGGAGGCTTCTCCCTCAACAACACTTCTATTGGTGTCTGTCCACCTGTTTTTGTGGGGTTTTTTGCCAGTTAAATTAGTTTACTTAGCTATGAAAACACCCTCTATTTCTTGCAGGACTATCCCGGCAAAACACAGAACATACACAGGTTAAAAAAACTCCATAACCTTCTTCTCCTACAGCTCTGTGTATTATGTGGTTTTCCTTTAGTGAGACCAAGTCTTACCCCTTTCCAGCTTCATTCCTGCCCATAGGCCTTCTCCCTCTGAACTCTTCAGGCTCACCACACTCTTTGTATGCTGACCATGCAGCAAGGAAAGGGAAACTCAAGCAACTTCACCCCAGGATTCAACACCACAGCATGTCACAGCCAATGGCAGAGCCAATGGCAAGCTGAGTCTCAGAGACAGAGCAGATGCAAATGGGTAGATGCCTCCAAGAGGCATCTACATGTGAGATGCACCTTGTTCCTCTTCTAGCAACCCCTTGCCAGGCTAACGGATGTGCCTGATGCCTGCTTGCCTCTTTGCCAGCATTTTTCCTTTCATTACCATCCATTAATCATAACAGACACGGCTATTTGTGGATTGAAAGCCAAGAGCTGTAAGCATCCTGCTAACTAATACCATTGACTTCCTTTATGGTTGATCCTCTGCCTCCATCCCACCTCGCATGCAGGGAAGATGCTCAAAAGGCAACACAGCTGCAGCTCTCAGCACACTCCCAGCAACGCCCCGGGTACCTGGCAGGAGTCACATATATCTCAGTGTCCTTAGACAGGCATGGCGAAAGCTGTGCTGCCACAGAAACACAACGGCCGCCCTCTGCACTCTACCAGGGCAGCCACTAGCCCAAGGGCTACCCACCAGAGCCAACATGCTGCATGCACACTGTATCCCCTTGGTGCCCAGACACTGAGCTCCCGCACCAAGTCCCAGCTGCAGCACCACAGCACAGGACACAGTGCTGTGCATGTGTGTGGGACCTCTCTTAGAGAGTTATGAAGACCCTATAATGAAAGAACAAGCACTAAAGTAGTGACCAAGGGGTACAACTGGTGAGGAACGTGGTACTGAGAAAAGAGCTGCAGAGTTGCAAAGCAAGTGTCTTTTGATACTGCTGACCATATTCATATTTGAAAGTTCATTCCCCACTACAGAAAATGGGAGAGCAAAGGTCTGAGATGAGCTACAAAGGAAATTACAAGACAGATTTTTCCAAGTTATGGGGTTATGCCGATCACTAGGAAAGATTTGACAGGGCCCAGGCTTTCAGGCACAGAGGTGAGGACAGAAATAACAACATGAAATGACAAAGCCGACAACTGACTTGGTGTCCATCTGCAAAGCAGTTCAATCATCTGTTTGCTCTCAGAACCAGTCAGGTCCTCGTGGGAGGACAGCAGAGGAGCAGATAGCTATTATATAGAGGTTAATGTCATTACTTTCGCTCTCAGCAATCAATGCGAGAAGGTGGCTTCTCCTGCCAGCTCCCTGCAACGCTGATAGTGGCTGGGACATTTCCTTCTCTGTTGCTTGGTTTTGCTTTCAGAGGCAAGTCAGCAGAACTTCTGAAAGACCCACATCAAGCTCTGGAGGACATGCCAGTAACACAGCAGAAAATGCTCTGAGTACATTAAAGCCCTGTACCTCCCAGGGTTGGCAGTGGCCCTCCAGAGCTATTTCTCATGTTACCACGTGCACGTGGCAGACAACCAGAACCTGAGACCCTGCCCATGTTGATGGGAGGCCAGACAGGGAACATGCAGAAACCTTCAGTTGTTTTTTAGCAAACTTGGTATCAGTGAGACTCACTTACTCACTAAGTAAAGGGATGAAATTCCAGCAAACCAGGATTCTAGTAAAGCTGGCGGGCTCCCGAGGACAACAGCCTTTGCCAACCCTGTGCACGATGGCTGCAGGTCCCAGGGCCAACGGCTCTGTCCTCAGGGAGGCAATAAACCCATCGGTGGCCATTCTGCAGGACTCACCCCTTTAAGCAGACCAGCCAAAAAGAGAATCCCGACCTGCCCTGCCCTGGACCCACTCACCCCACGCTCCGTACCCACCCTCTGCACACGCAGGTTCCACACACCACTCCACGGCACCGTGCTGCAAATGCTGCCACCCTCCAAAGCAGATACTCACCGTCGTCGCATACTGAATGTCCTTCCAGAGGGAAGTCTCCCGGGAAAGGTCTGAGGCCTCAAACAAGTTCTCCAAGATAACTTCTCCTATCATGTCATGTCTGGAGAACCTGTCAAAGTCAAAGACGCTCAGGTGGAGCTTCCTGCTCGCCAGCTCCTCGTGGGGCACAGGAAAGTGGAAGGACTCATCAAAGGTGGGATTCAGAGTCTTCCTGTGGACTCGTGTCTGGAACTTGCGCTTTCTGTCAGGCAGGAGGTAGATCTTCACATAGGGATCTGAGCTGCCACAGAAGTCTTTGGCTGGCAAGTCAAAAGCCCTGAGAATTCGGACAGTCAGTGTCTCATTCTCGTAGTCATACTTGAGAGTGAAGTTAATTTTCCCACAGGTCTTTGCTGCCTCTTTTTTGGGGTCCTCAGTGTCAACAGATTTTTGCTTATAGAGTTCAGGTTTAATGCGACCGATGCTGGTTGGCTGCTCAGCCACAGCTGGCGGGTCCATGCCGTAGTCCATGCTGGATACATGCATTTGCCGAGGAAGGTGCCTTTTGAAGGAGATGTGCCTGCAGGAGGAAGACACAACAGTTGTATGGTGTTCCAAGGACATTTCTCTCCTTTTCTTCCCAGACTACTACTGACAGGAAGGCAGGGAAAGCACAAGAACAAGTGCAATAGGTGCTCCTGACCTCCGTACAGAAACCACGTACGTTATGGAAAGGAACACTGAAGGGAACACCTCCAGTGGTCAAAGGAATCGATCCAGCAAATTTCCTAGCTTTCAGAGTATTTGCAGCAAGCTGCATTTTTTCACCTGTTACACAAATAACAGCCCACAGCTAAATATGAGAAACCCAACAACTCCTTACCCAAGCCACAGACAACCCAGTGTGGAGACGCTTTCCCATCCTCAGTCCTTGCAATTCCAACATACTGGCACTAAGTTTATCTCAGACTTTTAAAGCAAGAGAAGCACAACTGCCTCATAAAGTTAGATTTTGTTCTGGGTATTGCTGCTTCCAAACTTCTCCAACGGACTCTCATCAGAAACTGGTAGATAGTTCTTGACGAGGAGCAACGCACAGCCTCGTCTGGAAGCGGTCTCTTGCCTTGAGCTCCCCTTCAGCACAAGGGAAACTGTATGTAAGCAAAGCTTTACCTGAGAAAAGCATAAAAGCTTTCTGTGGACTCACACCAGTATTTCAGATTATCTGGTGTTTACAAGAGCAATATATGGAGTTATTTAACCATACTAAGAACTTGTACAGCCAGAGCATCAGCTTTCGGCGATATGTGGTGCTCGGAGACCTCACTTCTCCTTGGCAGGTTCCTCAAAGGCACTTTGGCCTGGGCTAGGCTGGGCTGTGAGTCAGAGATCCCAAACTGCTGAGGTTGTTCCCCAGTGTCCCTGGGTCTGGCTGCCTGCCTGTGGTTCATGCTGGGCTCTTTCGCTTGAGAAAGTGTGTTTGAAACCTTCCCACATACAACTGAGTCCCACTTTGTCCTAATTCAGACAGGCTGGGCTTTTGTTTTCTCCTCCACTGGAAAGGTGAAATAAAAGCAGAATGAGCATGTAAATAACAGAGAGGCAATCAGCTGCCCAAAAAGTGGTGCAGTTAAATAAAAGAGTATGTGGCACAATTGCAGACAGCACCGTTTTGATTTTAACTCCATCTTCAAACAGAAGGCTGTGATCAGTGCCTTGTGAATTCTGCAATGCTCCAGGCAACTCCTGAGCAAAGTCTGTTTTCACCGTGGCGCTCGTACACATCACGGGCATTGCCAGCAAAGCAAGCAGAAGTTCTGGGGCACAGCCAGGACCCTGTGATCACCCTTTCCTGTCCCAGTTTCACAGCCTTCTGTGTCAAGGAAGAGGTACCGTATTTCTCAGTGTTCTTGCTGAGAAGGTGTCCCAAGGTTCATACAGCTTATCCTGATTTACCAAGCATGATGTTGACATCTCTGTCCCCGGCTGAGACAGAGACGCGCATTGAGCACAAGCACCGAGCGCAGCTGGTCCTAAGCTTGTGCAGTGAGCGGTATGTCAATTCTGCTTAGCTAATTGTTTCTGCGAGGAGCCACAACAACAAGAGGGAGCAAAAGGGTCTAATTCTGTCTGACAGCATCCCATCATTGATACTTCAGCCTGCCTCTCATGTTGGAACGAAATTAAAGTGGCCAAAGCATACTGACGGCTTGACACAATGAGGTCAAGTCACAGTAACAGGGCTTGAATCCTTGATGGTTTTTAAAGGGCCCACGGTAAGCCAGTCTTAACATATTAATTGGCTAATGACCAGTCTTGGGGAAGTAATCCAGCACGTGGGTGGGAGTGCTCTCCTTAACCTCAGGCTCCACTAACAGCCCCTCTCACCCCACCAGAGGCCCTGGGAGGCAGCACCCCCGGTGGCAGCATCCCTGTGGAGCCCTGCGTCCGCTCACCTGGTGGAAGACGCAGGCTCCGTCGTTTGCCTCTGGATCCGCGTGCGCCGCATGATGTGGTCTTTCATGGACATCTGGACCTCTGCAGGGATGTCTGGTGATGTGTGGCTGATCTTCACCGCTGCCTCCAGGAAGCTTATGGCACCTGTGTCCTTGAGCTTGTCTGCCATGTTCTCCTTATTGCAGCCTGCCTCGCTCTGCAAGACGGCCAGGTTAGAAGAAATGGCCTTGTTCCTCCAGGGAACCCAGCACAGCTTCCAAAAGAGAAACAGAAAAACTGCCACCAGGGCCAGTCCACACACAATAACTATCACTGCAAGGAGGCTGACGGAGAGCTCTACAGGGAGAGAGAAGGCAACAGCAACAGGGAGAGGGGAGGAATGGGAAAGGAGGAAAGAAAAGAAAAGAAAGATGGTGAGAAAGCCAGAAGTAAAGGGAAGAAATGGTCCAAACTGACTCATATCATGACTAATGGAGAGCTCTTAGCGGGTTCTGCCGGCAAGAATCAAACCCAAGAGAGCGTCCTCTGAGGGATTTGGGACCACTTCCTGCCCCAGACACACCTCAGGAGCAATGGATTTCTCTAGCCAGAGCTATGGAGTTTTATACCATGATGCTTAGATTGGCTATAAAACATTGTCCTTGGCTCATTTAGTGGCACTGGCAAGCTGCTGAGCCTGAAACTGAACAATAGAAACAAGCTCCAGTGCTGTACCAGCAGAAGTTGCCTTTTCCCTTCATCCCACAGGTGTTCAGATAAGATATTAAAAAAAAAAAAAATCTGTCTACCATGATCGTGGAACTAGATTGTTTTGTACTATCAACGCTCACATCTTGTCCAGATGTGCCCAGAGGGAATAAAAGTAAATACCAATATTAAAAAAAAAATAAAATTTCACAAGCTGCTGATGCAGTGAAACCAAACATAGGAGGAGGCTGTACAGAAAGTACCACACATTCCTCCTTATTCTGAATGGCACAGAAGCTGTGTATGTTCTCTGACTCTCTGAGTCACTTGTACCCCATATGCTATGTATTTCAGCATTTCAATCTTTTTCTGGAGAGGAAAGAGATTCCACACCTATGGTTGAAGAATCAGGAAAAAAAGAAGATATATATATATATATATATATGTATATATGATCTAGGCTGTAAAATGATTCACAGCACTTCAAAAAGATAAAACATTGTCTATTTTTAGTTCCTTTCTTACAATGTAATAATTCCCAGATTCCCACCCAAACCAAAATTCCAACAGTTCAGAATCACAAAGAGCACCAGTCCCTGAAGATGAAGACAGGTTTTGCACTGGAATTAAGCCCACAGTGTCAGGACTATGGACAATTCAGCCACCAACTTCTCTGAGGTCAAGGACATTTCTTTGGTTGCCCACTGTGTTATTTGTAGTGACCAGTAAACCTACACTCCTTAAGTTACCTAAGTGTGAGTCAGGACAGAAAAACAGGTAAAAAATTATCAATCACTCTAAAAGTTTACACAGAATGACCTTACCTCCTACTCCCTCTGTTTATCTGTGTGCTTGGAACATAAACGTTTTGAGTTGCATGGAACTGACAGCAGCTCCTTCACTCCCTACCTGGGACGTGTATTTCTGAGCTGTGTGAGCAGCTGCAGCTAAAATGACTCTCTGGGTGTAAGGAGCCTCTCGCAGGGCTGGCTGGAGGCAGGACTGGGCACAGCTGCTAGGAAGCGAGGGCATCGGCGTGGAAGGGGATGACCAGGACACGGCAGCTCTCCTGCTGCACGGGGCTGGTTCCCACAGCAGAGCCCGTGCTGGGTGGGAGCCGCGGGACGGCCAAGGGCTCCCTGCACAGCGGGACACCAGCACCCCAGGAAGGGACCCGGGTTGGCTCCTGCTCGGCAGGGTCTGTGCAGCCCCCTCCAGAGCGGCACAGAGTGGCCCTTTGCCAAAGCCAGCTCAGGCTGGAGGTCACAACTGCAGACACGACTTCTTCAGCCTTGTCCATGGGAGCTGACAGCACCTCTTTGGATCACGTCTAAACGTGCCTAAGGCAAACAGCTTCTCACCTCCGTGAGCTCTGAGGAATGCTAGGCTCACTCAAAAACTGCATTTAAAACAATCTCCCACAAAATCCATCCCTACCAGGCAGCTTAGCTCTTAGAAGATAAACTGGGAAACTCATATTTGTGCTTCATCATAGCTACTATAAATGTGATCCCTGACGTATGCTTCACCTTAAACAGAAGCCATAAGAGGATCTCCTGGTTCCTTTGGTCATTTAGTTTAGTTCTGTACAGCTGTAATAAGATATTTAATGTCTAAGGCTTAGAAAAATCTATGAAATATAAGGAAAGACTAAATATTTATCTTGACAAACCACAACCATGACAGATGAACCATAACAGCAAAGTATTCAGGAACCCATTCGTATCATGAAACTTTGCTAACATGCTGTCTGGAAATGTAACAGGTACTATATATTTAGGATTTTCACATCAGCTCAGTGAAATCTCAAGGAAGCACCAGACACAGAATGCAACATCTACACGGGAACAAGGCAGTTCTGCCGAACACCTGGGAAACCATCTGTTGTTTCTGAGATCCCAGAGGAAATGCACTGTTTTTCCACAAAATTACCTAGCTTAGCAAATTCACTAAGAGCCTGAGGCAAAGCTTCCTGACTGCCCACAGGTCCTTTGACTCGAAAGGAAAGGCAGGAAGCTGCCAGGAGGTGCAGATGAAAAGAATAAATGCCATCCAGAAGTTTTTGCAACTTGCCTCTCTCTCACCAGCCTCCTGTACAGGTCAGACTGCACCATTTATTTTCTGCTGTAGCTCCAAGGTGGAAATACAGATCACTACTGGGGTGAATAAATAGGTCCTGTCTTATTCAATAATAAATAGGAATGTACAAGTCAGCAGTGGAGCTTCCTTAGAGATTTGGCCAAATGTATTCGCACCGAAGCAGAGAGCACTGAGGTACCACTATCCTGTTCTTTGAGCTTCCTGGGAACTGCGCCCAGGAAACGGTGTCAGAGAGTTTCATGAGAAAACTTAAGAACCTGGACTTTTTGCAAATAGGTCTGTGTTGTTACAAAGGAAATAGTTGCAACTCAGAATCCATCACTGCTGGGAGTTGTTACACAACAGAAAAGTTTCTGTTAAGATACTTCTGCCCATTTCCAGAAGTCCTATAGCATGCATCACTCTGCTAGCACACCAGGCTCATTAATGGAAAACATCAGAAAAAATCAGTTTTCTCTTCTGAAAACCTGTTGCCAGCTTGAGAAAGATCTTAGTTCATGTCACTTCTTGCTGAGCTGGCATTCATAATGCATTTGACAGGATTCACAGATACTTTTATGCATGACCTCCTACTCTTTCCTCTGACAGCTCACATAAAGCACAAGTAGAAGGGATCAGGATTTCACAGACATTTTTAAAGCATCTGCCTGGGAAGAATATTGGTTTGTCTGAAGATGACATTAAATTCCCCAAGACTTTTTGCGTGACTTATTAAACTTAAATATCAGTTGGACAGAGTTGACCTTAATTGATTTAATGAGCTTTCTCTTATGAAGTTGAAAATACCAGTTACTTTAAAAAAAATACTTAGTATTCAAAATGTTATGCTTTAAATGTCCTTTAACTTACAAGAAACTGTACTAACAAGCTAATTCCTTATCTCACAGAAATTGCCCCAGGGTCAGAGGTTGCTTGGCTATTCCTGGCGTGGATGGAGGTAAGGCCTGTTCCCCCAAAGACTTCTCCAAAGACAGAACAGACCAGAAGGACACCCCAGCCCAGGGGAAAGATTAGCTCGTTCGCTTCTATCTCTCCACTCTGTGCAATGTTTGGAGCCAAGGGCTCCTGAGCGGAGGGTGAAGAGGGACGTGTCTGTGTCCAGCAGCGAGGACGGGCTCTGTCTGACAGAGCAGCACAGAACAGTTCAGCCTCTGCTCTATCCAAGGTTTTCCACGCTGCAGCCAACTCACGGGAGATCCCTGACTGCTTGTGGCATGGACAGGGCCACACTGTCGCTCTGAGAAACATCCCATCTGAGGAAAAAATACAGCAACAGCAGCATTTCTATTCTGTTCTCCTCTGAAAAGACGACAGTGCATTATTTGTCGCTTTGCTATCAGGTAAGTAGGGCTGTACAGCGCAGAATGGCTGCAGCCGTTCCTCACCCTGTTCTCATCTCACTCAGTACTGGTACCTCGTCCTAGTCTAGCTCCCTTGAGAGACACAGGAGAAATTGCCACTTTGGAAAATGGATTTTATTACAACTTGTAACTGAAAAGATAAAGCTTAAGAGGAGGAGGCAGCAAATACAAATTAACATGGCTATTTTCCAGTCTCGCTCCCCCTGGGAGCAAGAGCCTCTTCCCAGAGGAACCCTCAGCTTGAAACTGCTTTTGGCTACAGAGCAGCAATGAGAGCTCTTGCATGACTAACGAGGAGGGAGGGGAGAACAAGCAGCAGGAAAGACATGGACACAGACATGGACATTCACCTGCATTAGCTGATACGCTTAGGATTAGGCACTGAGCTCTTACTTACCTAGTGAACAGAGACAGCTCCTTCAGGGATGGTCTTCCTCACTTACTAAGGTCTTTTTGAGGCAGAGGTTTAGCATAGTATGTAAAGCAAAAGAGAAATTGTGAATTTGTGACCCACTATATTTCTGCGTGCAGCCCTACAGACACAAAGCACCGTTACATCTCCGAGCAATGTCCCAGAAGTGACCATCAAAGGCCACCACCAGCAGTCCCGGTCCTTTGCTGCAAAGCAGAGACCTTCACTGAAAGCATTTCTACACCAGGAGAACCAGGGAAAGGCTCCTCTCAGCCAGGAATGACCTTCTGATGAGTCCTGCCACAGATCCCCCATCAGAGCAGCTGATGGAGAGAGAGATTTCTAAACCAGAAAGCCGTTTGCTGCGTCTCTTTGACAGAACAATCTCACTGCAGTAAAGACCCGGTGCCGACAGCGAGCAATGGGGATGCCAAGAGCACAGAGGAGACCGTCTGAAGCACGAAGGTTGACGACCTGGTTTGTGTTTTTATTGTTTCTATAACATCTACAAACCTTGTAATTGACTCTTACAACAAAGCTCACAGAATGGCTCAAAACTATAAAACTTTGGAGCAGGTCACTACTTTCTAGTGCCTTTCAAATAAAGGATGAGATGGGCCAGGGTGGGGCAAAGGGACAGGGGAGCAATTTAAAACCGTAACACTAAAAGCCAATTTAGGAAAGGGGGATCATTTCCTGGGTAGCCCAGCACCTCCCGTGCCCTGGTACCCACACACTGGGAAAGCAGCTCGTCAGTACAACTACCCATTTTGTTT